GAGGGCAGCGGCCCCGGCCCTGCCCCCGGGACTCGGGCGGGACGGGAAGGCCCCGGGGAAGTGCGGGGGGGAAAACAACAGCAACGCTCCTGCCTCGGCAGGTAGGGCTGTGCCAGGTGCCAGGGCGTCTCCGGCCGTGCTGACACAAGCGTAGAGGGTGAAAAGCAATAGTTGAGCCGGGCCGTACGAAGTTCACGGGCGCCGCGTTAGGGAACGTTGCTGCGGGAGGGCTCCAAGTGCCGGGCAGAGCGGGCCGAGCTCTGCTTTTAAACGCTATTAAAATGAACCTCTCTCCTTTTTCTTCTCGAAGACCAGTTCTTCGGAGCTGGCTGGGTGTTGCCGTGTTTCCCAGCCGCTTTGCGGACTGACTGTAGCGTTTATGAGCTCGTTAGCAAAGCCTGACAGGTTGGCGGAGCTGGTGCTTGTGAGGGCTGGCGGGCCCGGCCCGCTTTGCCAGGCTGCAGCTCAGAGCTTTGGTTTTACCCCAGCGATAAGCACGTTTCAGGAAGGGCCATCCAGGCTGTTAGGCTGCTGTGAAGTAGCCTCACGGAATTCTTGTGTTAAATCGCTTGTACAACCACCTGGGGGGCGGGCGGGGCTCAGCAGCGATGCTGGAATTACTCACAGTGGGCTTGGCCACACCAGCCGTTTGAATTCGGTGATGACAAGGGTGGTGTGACCATTAGCTAGGCTTGAGGGTGGATTCTGAAACTAAAACCTGGATTTGTGTGTTTGTGTCTGTTTAAATATACATATCTGTTACTGAGGATTCTTAGTTACGTATTTTGATAACAAAATACACTGACTTGGCAGTCCACGTTCAAAAAATGATCCCTTAATGTCTAAGACTAATAAGGAAAATTATTATTGCATTATTTGATCCTGAAACGGACTCTAAACTTAATTTGCTTGTATATATGGGATCAGTGACTCTTCAGAAACTTGCAGGGTAGCACAGACAGCTGCTTTCCTTCTCCTGGTAGCTGCAGTACAACTTTCTCTTCTTTCCAGAAAATTAAAGCCTGAAACAAACAGCCTAAGATTTGAGTTTTCCAACTGCTGCTTTTCCTAATAACTTGCAAAATGTTTCCTACTCCAAAGGCTTGAAAGGGTATGGGAGATTGACTTCCCTTAGGTGTAGAGCAGTTTTTAGATCCCATTTGGAGGGATTATAACAAAGTACAAATACGTCTTTATTGGGGTTGGACTAGATGATCTTTCGAGGTCCCCTCCAAACCCTAGGATTCTGTGATTCAGTGATTGTCTCCCTTTAAAAGGTTTGATAGCTGTCTGTATCGTAATGCATCAGAAGTTGTTAATTCTTCAGTGCTGCTTAGTAAATGTAAAAAAAAGTTCCACATTTTTATTATCCTTTTTCCTAATTATGTTATTGTCCTGTTGCTCTGCAAAAGCAGTCATATGATGACTAAGGCATTAAAAGTAATCCTGTGGATTTTATTGCAGAAGCAATTTGTGCTAACAAGGTCTGGAAGCAGCTTGCCTTGATTCTTGTGGTGATGTAACTCAGGAGATGATAACAAGTGGTGTTACATTATTTGTTACCTTGTATTGGTTTTCAGTTCCATTTAAAAGAGAAGCTTAATTTCCAGGAGTAAAGACAGATAATAAAATTTGGTAGAGTTTGGATTCTGCAAATACAATGACTGCAGCTTAGAAACTGTAGGTTTCACTACATTACAGAGACAGTTTTGGGGAAAGCAATGCTACCTGAGAGAAAAAAATAGTGTATAGTGTATTAGCAGAGTTCTGAACTCTGACACATTTAAAACAACAATGTAGTGAATTTGCCTATAGTAACTTCTACGTGGCAGAAATAGCAATGGGAGTTGTTGTGGGGTTTTTCAAATCTATTAAAAATGTGAATTTCTAGAACACTGAACTAGCTGGAGTCTGGAGTTTTCTCGGTCATTTGTCAGTATTACCTACTTTTTCAGAATACTCAAAGTATCATGTGTAAAGCTGCCCTGCTGTTGAGCTTTTTGGGTGTGCAGACCCACCCCTGGGCTGTGTTGCAATGTCAGGACCAGCCAACATTGTGTTCTTGTTTTAAGTGCAGTGGGCTGAGACAATCTGGCACTTCTTGCATACCAATGCAAGTTGAGACAGTCTGGTACCTTCATGTCCTGGGTACAAGCACAGTGAGGTGGGATGACTAGGCACTGCCTTAACCATACCTGAAAACTCCTTCCTGGAAAATGTTCCTGAAACTCCTCCTGCCTGGATTGTGGCACACTCTAAAAAGTGCCAAGATTACCTGACAGGCATTATGGTCATAATGGAAAAGTGCTAAATAAGTCCATCATCTTGCAATCCTAAAGGAGGCCCTTTGAGGTCTCCAGGGTTGCAGCAGGCTGTGACCCAGAATCTCCTGCTGAGTTGGGACATCTCAGAGTAGATTTTGCAAGGCTCAAGGTAGATTTCTTGTGGTAATTCTATGAGGTCTACTTAAAAATATCAGATGCCTGTGTTTTATCTCTATTATCTGGTTTACTGGCAGTATTTAACTTCTCACATTTCTTGTGTTGAGTTGGCTTTCTATTCTAATGTACTTGACCATTATGACCTAACCAAAACAAACTTTGTACGTAAGCTTTGCACAAGTATTCATTCTGCCATCTTTTTGCCCTTCTAGGAGTTTATTAAGGGACTCTGTGAACCTGAACTAGAAGAAAAGGAGTACTACCCAAAGGACATGCACTGCATCTTTGTTGGTGCACAGAACCTGTTTCTCAACAGTCTTATTCAGGATACCTGTGCTGATATAACAGTCCTGGAAATAGGATTGCTCAGTATTAAGGGAGGTGCAGAAGCTGTTGTTATGGCTCAAAGTCACATTCAGCAGTTTGTGAAACTTTTTGAGAATCATGAAAACTTTACAAGTGACAATGAATCGGAGATTAAAAAGCAATTCAGACAATTTGTGGAAGCACATGCTGATAAATACACAATGGATTTACTGATTTTGCCTAGTTCACTAAAAAAAGAACTCCTAGCTCTCACACAAACTGAATGTTGTGAAGCAGAGAAAGATATCATAGATCTTACAGGTTCTGACATCCCAACAGAGCTTTTACAGACCAAAACCTCCAAAGTAATCGCTACAGACAGAGATGGAAGAGCAGGTGGTGAGGAAGCAAGAAACAGTGCTGGGACACCTGTAACTGAGCTTACAAAACAAATGGACACTGTGTTTTCTGATTCTCCTGAAACAAGTTTTGTTCCCATAAACGTGCCTCTGTTAGAGGCAGTGGCATCTAAAGAAAGGCAGTCATGTAAAAGAAGATCTTCTGATGATGAGGAAAGGCTCCCTAAAAAGCAGTTCTCTTTGGAAAATGACCAGGAAGTGAAATCCACCTCACGCAATAATTCCTCAGACAGGAATGAAGTTATTGATCTGCTTTCTGATAGCTGCAGTGACTCAGATGATCCCAGTTATTGCCTTAAAGAAGGTGATGATATTAGTGAGGAAATGGAATATAAGATTCTTGTCAACTTTTTCAGAACAATGGGATATTCCCAAAATATTGTAGAAAAAGTTATTGGTATCCTAGGACAATCTGTGGAACCGTTAATATTACTAGAAGAAATTGAAAAGGAAAATCTAAAATTTCAGAAAGAACATGAACACTCATCTCAAAAGCCCAGAACTGTCAATCCTCCTTTAGGAAGTAATGCAAATAATTCACAAAAGCTGGAAGACAAAGGCATTTCTAGAAATAGAAGTGCACTTCAATCTGGCCATACTTCAAAGGAGACAAAAAATGAGTATCACAGAGATATCAAAAAAGCTGCACCAAGCATGCAAGCTGATGCAGAAGATAAAATGCATATGTTGGTATGCAAACCTGCCTCTCCTTCCAGTAAAAATTCTGCTGTATGCCGTAAACAAAGAGATGTTTATTGCCCTGGTAGGAATCACAGTTCAAGGTCCAGTGATACAGAAACTGATGGTGGTGTCATTTTAGGCACCATACAAGCTGGAGCTCTAAAAGATGTTGATTTTGTAGCCAGAGGGAGCTCAGATGTGCAATGTATCTCACCTAAGACTAAAACTATAGTTCAGCAAAAATCTGCAAGGCCATCAGCTCTACCGAACAGTCATCCTGTTTTCGAGGACCAATTAGGACACTGCAGCTCTTCTTATCAAGTGAGATCTCTCAACCAACGATTTTCCCAAACCTCAGACTTTGAAAATCCTATCCCAGACCAGGTATTGTCTTCACAAATACATACTTCAAATCCTGATGGAGAGACAGTGGGACCACACAGACATCATCCTGATCCTTCAGTTACTGGAGTTCAAAGGTTTCTGGAATCTCTGAAAAAGCCATACCGACTGGAGCTGAAAAATGAACCCGGGAAACCGTATTTAAAACATATCATTATTGATGGAAGTAATGTTGCAATTTCGTAAGTATTGTTCTTTTCAGCTATCTCTTTAATAGAAGATCAGTGAAGTTTCAAATGAAATGGGGGCTAAGAGGTTGCTGTGGCATTGGTCAAGTCTGCTAGCTAGCTTTCTGGTGACCCACAGTCCATGTATACAGCAAGGTTTTTCAACTACTGGTAATGGCTGCCTTGGTAAGTTATGATGAGGCTTGAAAATGAATAGAGAGACTGACAGAAGCTATTTCCAACACATAGCAACTTTGATAGTATTTGTTCTCTGTTTATTAACAAGATGATTTAAAATGAAAAATGAATTTATTCTACAGCATTTCTGCACTACTAGGCAGTGGTCAAATTTGAAACCTGATTTGTGCCAGGAAGTGCTGCCACCAGAGCACTCTGCCAATTAGCAGCGCTCCAGCTCCATGCAACGCTTCCGTCAGAAGTAACTTGAGTGAGCTCTGCTCTGGAGTCGGCAATTTTATGCATGAAACTTAATTAGCTTTGCACACACATAACAAAGAAATTGAGTTGCCATAAACTTAAGAGGAAAGTGTTTGTTTTTTTTTACTTTTGCTCCCGTTGTCTTGTAATTTTCAAGTGGGAGTTCTGATAGAGTAGCAAGGTGTTTGTCCTTAAACAGCATTACACATTAGTGTTTGGGTCTTGTTACTTTCTGTACATGGAGGCTTGACACAAAATATTGCATCCCCCTCCATAAAACTTGCAGAATAGGGAACTGTGTGTATGTGTGGACACACCTCATCTCCTATTCCTCCTCATACCTAAAAGAATGTATGCAAATTAGATTAGACAATTATTGAGAGCCATCAAGACAGTGAAAATATTTATCAGCTTTTCTGGTTTGTTGAATAGAGGCACTGGCTGCATTTTAAGTTTATGAACTAGAACATTTATGAAGGTAACTCTTCCCTAAGAATTGCATTGTTTTATTTGACTGTTCAAAGAACACCAAGAACACTTAATTTTAATAATGCAAGTGTGGCATAGGTTTGTGGGGGTTTTTCCTCCAGAGACTTTGTTAAAAAGGTAGGATTAAATCAAAACTAATAAGGCTTACTTTGAGGCTTATAATGTACAATTGCACATTAACTAGGAGACTGGTTTAATATACAAATACCACTTGATCACTTAATGCTATGAGAAGTACTTTGTAGTCATTTATCATGTAACCCAAAACATATGGGGACAATATGTCCTACTTTCTAAGAAAAGCTTTGCCTGTTCATGCCATCAGTCCTGAATTGAGTGTTTTTTCTAACTACGTATATCTTTGTTTTGTCTAAGTGTAGCCTTTAATCTGTGAAATGCAAGGTGACAATTTTCTGAATGAAAACTAGATTGCCACTAAAATCAAGTGCTGTGAAAATATTTGGTCAAGGAAATTTCATTATTTCAATGTAAAACGGTAGCTCAGATTGTTGAAATGAAGGGAGTGGAGGCCTAATATCTTTGATTATCAGATAACTTATCAGATGGGAACCATCTTGGACCATCTTGGGAACCAGTTGAACCTAAGGTGTTCTGTTTTGTAGTGGGACTGTATTTGGAACTACCACAATATTGGATTATGATAATTTTAACCTATATTCAATAGATTTCAGAAACCGTCACTGTTGGCCTCTTTTTAGAGCTAAACCTACTTCTAATTACTCAAATATTGTGCCCATAAAACTGAAAGGAGACTGAGTTATAATTTTAATATCTTTTGTTGAAGATCTCTTTGCATTCCTAAGATTCTTCATCTCTAAAATCCATCTACCTTTTATTTTGGTGACGCTGTATGGGTAACTTACAGCTTCACTTTCTAAAGTTTTATTCTGGTTTTTTTTGCATTCGTGGTGGTAAAGCTCCAGTGAATTTCATCTCCCTTCTCTTTATTCCACCCCCAGTCATGGTCTTAGGAAATTCTTCTCCTGTCGAGGAATTGCAATAGCTGTTGACTACTTTTGGAAACGTGGCCACAGAAATATTACTGTATTTGTTCCACAGTGGAGAACAAGACGTGATCCTTTCATTACAGGTGAGGGAAATGGTTTCCTAATGTTTTCTTAAACTAAATTGTAACTATTCATTTGGATACTTCTGTGAAAAGTGAATAGAGAAGGAATACTTCATAATATGTTACCCATGAGCAGTTTGGCTGCTCAGCAAGACTAATTGGGTTTCCATGTACAGGGTGAGACCCTCTGAAACACTGTTCAGGCTACCAGATGTGCCATAAGTGAAGGCCTTTTTCTTTGGTTTGGTGCTTGTTTGCTCCTTGATTTCTAGGTTCTACCTCCTCTCAATTTTTACAATAGTAGCAATTCAGTATCCCTGTGTCACTTCTGTAGATTAATAGGTTAAAAAATAGCCTGTCTTCTTTGCTAATTACAGTTCAGACTAATTGTCAAATCTATAAATAGATTAGAAGCAGGCTTTTGTTTTTAAGGACAGTTGTTTCATGTTTTAACAGAGCAGGATTTCTTAACACAGCTCCAGGATGTTGGAATATTGTCCTTAACGCCTGCGAGAATGGTTTTAGGAGCAAGAATTGCTGCTCATGATGACAGGTATGGAATATGCACAGTTTTAAAGTCTTTTTAAATGTCTCAATAATGTTTGTAAAAAATTAATACTTCATGAACAGTAGCATTAGCTAGTACTTCAACCTAGACAGAGAACTATGCATCAGGTACTACTTGGTTCCTTTAGTTTATTTTCTTGATGCTATCACGGCATGCAGACATGGTGTGTGTATTAGAAGCAGTATATTTATATCAGTGTATAGATTAGTAAACTTCCAAGTTAATTTGGGCACCAAAGTTCAGCTTCAAAATGTGGGGTCATCTTTCAGTAAACAGTACAACAGTGACCTTTGGGGTTTTTGTTGGAAGGGTTTCCCAGTTCTTACATTGCTGTTGCCAAATTTGAAGTGCAAGTGCTTAAGGTTTTTTTTTCACAGGGAATTTCCTGGTAATCAAAGTGCTTGTGTTCATGCAAATGGGTTACTTTTGGGTGGTGGCATGTTGAGTTTTCTAGATCTTTGGACAATTATCAGCAAAGCAGACTACTTTAACAGTGTTTGAAATTAATTTTACAGATTTTTATTACACCTTGCTGATAAAACTGGAGGTGTTATTGTGACTAATGATAACTTCAGAGAATTTGTGACAGAATCACTTGCCTGGAGAGAAATTATTCAAAAAAGGTAATTATTCAGTTTCTATGAAAGTTTAAAAAATGTCTGTCCTTACAGTTGTAGGCACCCTGCCTTCATCTAGGGTTTTTATTTTTAATTAGTCTTTCATGCAATTCTGGTAGAGCCCAACAAAGTACTGTTTGTTTCACTACTTGGATTCATGGCCTTGTCATTGTTTGTTGAGCAGTCCAGTGTGCCTATTATTAATATATTCTGTAACGTACATCTGTTATTGCTCACATAAGCAAGAGCTTGTAGCAGCCAAGTTATATCACTTCTGAAACTCAGTGTTAGATCCTGTTAGAGCTGGCGCTTTGCTGTCCATTCTCACAGGCTTTCTTGTTTTACGTTTCATTTCTTCAAGGAGACGTGATAGCAGATGCAGAGACACAGTGTCACTTTTAAGGTTTCAGAATTACTCACTCTGTACTGTAGTACAGCAAATCAGTACAGCTAAACAAAATAACACAACGAATCCCTGTAGCGATTGCCCTGCAATTGCTGAGTGTCCTTTGCGTTTAGATGAACTCACTTAGCCATCAAATATGCCTGCTTCAGCTTTTTGATTGTCTATGGATTACAGGTTCTCCTGTGCAGCTGTTTGGGTTTTTTTCCTTTGGTTTGGTTTGGTTTTACCCTCTCCAGTAAAATCAGATCATTTTACTATTAAGGTATGGTCTTCTGTTTCCCAAATTTCCCAGTAATCCCTCAGAGTCTCCCTAACCTCTTTTGAGGGTACATCTACTGCAATGACTTGGGTCCATATGGTCTAATTAAATAAATAATTGAAAATTCTTCAGTTCTCATAACATTGCTGGGAGAACATGGAACTGATATTGGCTAATTATGTAGGTATTTATACTATTTCTTGAGTGAATTCTACCCAGGTCAGGTTCTGTTCTATAGAACTTTAGCAAGAATACTTGGCACATCATTCTGAGTCTGTGGTTTTTTAAGAGCTTGTGTTAACATCTGCTATTAGTTTTACTTCTGGGGAAATTCCACTATAGCAAATTATCTCCTGGCAGACAAATTTTATTTGAACTAGTTTCCTTTGATGCAGATTTCCCCCCTGTCCCAAAAGTATTCCAGAAAAAAAGCTTCCTTGTGTCTTAACTATAAACAGTTAACACTATGTTTACTAGTTGTGTGGCTTTCTGGTAACATATGCCTTTTAACTACATGGGTGAAGATCCTTACAAAGAAGGGGAGTCTGAACAACCAGAAAGTCTTCTTTAATCACCTAGAAAATTCCACCCTGGTCTCTTGTAAAAATTGCACTCATCCAACACTTCCTGTCAAAACAAAACAAACCAAAAAAGGAAACAAACACCAAACTCAGTGTTCTGCACTGTGTTTTGCACAATTCTTTTGACAATGAATGCTGTTTGTATTGAAACTGGGATACTAGCTCAGCTTCAGTGACTCCTGATATGGTGTGAAGTGTCTGCTCTAAGGCAACTAGTCCTATGCTACAGAGGTGAAGGGCAGTGAGGGTGTAATACATTGTCAATAATATTGAAAGAACTCTCTTGCAGGTTGCTCCAGTACACTTTTGCTGGTGACATATTTATGGTTCCTGATGACCCTTTGGGAAGAAATGGACCTAGATTAGATGACTTCCTTCGAAATGAAGGCTCTTCTAGGTATAAGCACTGTTTTCACTTTTGGTTGAGGCTGTTACAATTTCAAATGTGAAATAAACTGTTCTTGTGGTTGAACGTTTATTTAGATCTGTATAGTAAAGGTACAATTAAATTAAGCAAGAACACTGTTGGATGCAGTAGCTTAAAAACATGTTTCTCTTATTACTTCAGTCTGTTTAGAAACTGCTGGTGACATAGGTATCTAATCAAGATCTCTCTCAGAACTAAGACAAGTAAGACAGTAACTTCCTCTGAGATTTGGTTGTGGTGGCTTTCACATAAAGGTGCTCCAAACTGTTAACACTGCACAAAGCTGCCAGTGGTTTGGGTATGTGGTAGTCTGGTATCCTCTTAATTACTGTGATGTTACTTAAAACACCTTGATTGATCACTTATTCATAGTGGGACAAGAGGTGCTACAAAAGAAACACTGTACTCTCATATTCCTCCCAGGAGAAGCATTTCACTTCACAGTTCAGGGTACTGTGCTGTTAATAAAACCATTCTTGAGAGGCATTGTTATTAAATGCATTTGTATTTGATTCATAATTTTAAATATTAATGAACAAATATTGTTCCCTTAAGATCACTGTACTTTTTAAATGTGCATGTATTCAAAGTATGAATTTGCTTTGCATTAACTGCTGAGACTTGAGAATGGATTTGCTCTCTTGCACAAGAAGATAAGCTGCTCTTTGCTCTTTTACCAGCATAGGAATTATAAATACTAATGGTAGTGAGGAGTCCTGAGAGAACTTTTAAAAACAAGTGAGGGAAGTAAAATTAGCAATAGAAAAGGCAAGCTATATTTAAGGATTAACACAAAGAATAAGCAGGAATCTCAGCTACTGGAAACAACTGAAGAAAGTGAGACCTGTGTATATTACCAGTAGGTCACAGGTTGATTTGAAATAAAGGTCAACATTACACATGGAAAAGGCAAATGCAGCTTTACAACTCTAATAGAAAACACTAAAAAAGTATTCAAGCTCTAATATAAAACCCTTAGAAGATGTAATTTGGAACAGTGTTTTAGCCACCTGTGTCCAAGCTCAGTAATGCTGATGTTGGTACTTCCATAAAATAAGCTTTGACCGCTGCTGTAGTCTGCCAAGCAAAGTACTCGCAGCATACTGGAACTAGTGCTAGATAATGTTAGTTCATGTTGTTAGTCATGCCAGACTCAAACTGAAAGCTGTTACACCTACTGTTCTGTTTCACTTTGAAAAAACGCTTACCATTTCATTCCAGTCAGTACCTATTGAAGCAGTAGTGAAGTACAGCAGTTACATACATTCTTCTTTCTGTGTTTATACAGAGACAGCGTCTCCTTTACCTTAATTTAATAAAAAAATTTCCTTTGTTCCGTAGAGATTTTAGGTCAGCACAGAAGGCTTTACAGAGCAGTGGACAATATTCTTCTGAGATGCCTCTCTTCGTGCCAGTCCCCAAAGCAACCTGTAGCAGTCATCAGACTAAGAACAGAGTACCTGGTGATCATTCATCGCCACAGCTTCCGCTGGAGGCAGAGATACAGGCTTGTCTGGCAATTCCACCACAGAGATCTCCCTCTGAAACAGCAGAGCTTAGAGAAGCCCTGATTAAAATTTTTCCTGATCATGAGCAAAGACAGAAGATTAATCAAATACTAGCTGATCATCCATTCATGAGAGATCTTAATGCACTGTCTGCCATGGTGCTTGACTGAGTATTTTACAGGATTTTTACATCACAACTGATCTAACTAACTTTGAATATCAATGTGAAGAAAAATGTTGCTCTGTTATATTACTTTGTGAATATTTAGAACCTAATTTTATTTGTATAAACAAAGGTATTTTTTGTGTATGTTCTGTTGCTAATAGATGCCAGTTTTCAGTAAATTAAAAACTGTTGCTACTACAGATTTGTAGTAATATTTTCTATGAAAAAAACGTATCTTCTGCTTCACTTGAATTGCTTATTAAAGCAGTAGCAGTTCTAGAGACCTGTAACAGTTTAAATAGTGTTTGCACTTTTTCAAAACTCCTTTCCTCAAAAAGGAAAATTCATGTCAGGGGTTTAAAAGTGACTCTTGCAGCTTCATATATATTTTCCAGATGCATACATAACATACTATAACCTAAGCCATGCATGTATCAGATATTTTTATTGGTGTTTGTATCTAGAGCACAGAAGTCTTAGAAAACCAATGCTCTACTTGTACCTCCTTCACTTAAGAACTTTGAAATAATTCTGCATGGAAATAAACCAGACCCTTTTAATATTTTCAGATTCAAAGACTTGTACATACTGTATATGTGAACTTGCTTTCTTTAGTCCTGCATCGTGGGTTTTGGAAATAGGCCACATTCCTACAAGTCAGTGGACAGCAGTTTGAAGATCAGTGTATGGGAGCGGTGGCTGTTCAGTGCATTGTTGAAGGGCTGTCACAAGGTGGCACTATGCATCTGTTCTAACAGTCAACGAGAAGGCTTCTGACACGTTCTGAAGTGCAGGTTCTTATACAAAGATAAAATGCAAAATACGTCACAGGAATTGTAAATGTGTTGTGGATAAAATTGTGTATTTTATTAATGACTTAAGGATACTAAGTAATCTTCTGATAATATGGGCGGCCAAGAAGCTTTGTATATACAGGTAAAATGGAATGAAAGCAAAGCAAGAAATCCATTTGCCTGTTCATCCAGGTTGAGATGCTGTGCTGGAGTAGTTAGGAGAGGGGAGGTTTCTGTTAGAAAGTGTAAATTCACAGCTCTTCATGGCAGCAGATATTTGTAATGCTTTAAAAGACCTGTGATAGCTACATTTGTTTTTAAATTGGAAATTATTTTGATCGTCAATGCTCCTTTAGAATAATGTTCATATTTTTACCATCTGCACTGTCTCCTGTTTGTCTTTGCTGTGTCTGTCCTAAATCTGAATGCTGTGATAAGCTCTTAACAGAATGTGCTGCTGGTAACAGCCAGCTCTACCCATTTAATTCTCCTCTGGAGTCTCCCAAAACTAAGGTGGAAAAAAAGGAACATCATTTATGAAAGCTGACCAATAGGACCATTTTCAAGAGCAGGAGCCAAGTGAAGATTACTGTGTTTCTCTATCTCTGTACACACTTAAGTCTGTTATACCTTCCTTTTATCTGATTTTTGGTGCTAAGCATTCACGTAAGTAAAATAAAATTAGAAAATGTGGGCTACAGAGCCCATGTTAAACTTCTGATGTACTGAGCCTTCCACTAAAGCGTAAGAACACTGGCTTTCTCTCCAGTAGAAGTTCTCTGGGTTCTGAAAGCACTTTTTGCTTAAATGCAAAACAGCTGAAACATACTGAGGAAATAAGGATGTTGAAAGTCTGTCTTGTTGCACGGCCCTTGCATGTGTTGTGAAATCAGAAGCAGAAGGCAGAGTCTTGCTCTTCCCTCAACAGGAGCAAACTATACAATGATTGCAGCAAGAGCAAAAGAAAAGTATTAAGAACATTTATTGTAGTATCTAAAAAATGCAAACAAGGATGAAGAAAGGTTTTGACTATGTTTCTAAGTTCAAGTAGACAAACTTTAATTATTTTTTTTCCCCTGTAAAAATGAGTGGGCAATTCCTCAGTCAGGTGGACAGAGTTATTCTGACCAGCATGCTTGCCAAGAAGCACTGCTTTCCAAGATCACTAAGTTCTGTATCCATAAAAACTCAGGCAGGTTCCTAAAGCCTGTCATCACTGATTTCAGTTTGTATCATTTTAATAGCTAGCAAGGGAATAAATTATGACCAGCAAAGGGTTTTTCCTTAACAAGGAGGACAGTGGTGGTAAATTGGAGTAATTTTGCTCAGTTCTACATTGGAGTGAGACAAGGGAACACAGGGTCAGCTTCTTAATTCCTAATAAGCTCGTCTAGAGGCAATCAGGAGAACCAAGGAAATGGGCCAAGAGCAATACAAACGATTCCTTGTCTTCTTTGCATATTAGTGCACTCAAAACCAAAACCAGCTGTGTAACACAGAAGTGTAGATAAAGAAATTTGTGTTGGTTTTGTTTGCCACAAGGAAGGAAGAAGATAAAAATGAGTATGGCCCTGGAGGGGCAGCAAAAAGTAAGTATTATATTGATTACTATCTAGTGTGGGAGACATGGTGAAGTATGTAAACTCTTCATTAACAGTGGTTTATGGAACAACGTTCATGCTGGTAAATGCTGATGTGCCGTTCACTTCTGTGCTAAACAGCCAGCTTGAAAGGAATTAGAGAGGAGTATAGCATCAGGTGTTAAGCAGAGTAGTAGCTTACTACTTTTTCATGACACAAGAAGCCTGGCTGGGAATAGTAGCTATAAACCTTTAACCTTGCCTTTAATTTTTGTCAGATGGAGGACAGACTTAACAAATAAATTTATTTTTATAGCAGAAGCTTATTGCTGGATGTTAAAGGAAGCTGTCACAGCTAATGTTCATGTAAAGTGAAAATAACTGAGGCCAAAGGTTTTTTGTTTTCAGTTTTGTTGGGTTCTATTGTCCCTTCAGCTTTGAGTTTTAAACAATGCATCTCTATTAACAGGGAAGGTGATAAAACAATGAGTATGGGCTGAGGGACCTTGAGGGAAATGGGTGGTGCTGTTGCAAAGCTATGTCATGTGGTAGAGGAACACCCAGGGTGCATCTCAACTGCACTTAGAACAAAACTATCAGTGTCTCAGTTTTGTTTCCACTTGTTTTTAGTTCTCTGTTGTAAGTATGGCATAACAGCCTCTTTTGGTGTATAACAGAACTAGCACTGCATGAAACACAGCAGCCTAGAAAGCTTTCTTGGACCTAACAGAACAAGGTTTTTGTTTGGATTTTTTTTTTTTTAACAGCATTAAAATATGCTTTTTTTAGGCAAGAAAGTTGGTCTGTGGTTCTCCTTTATCAACTGTACAAAGTACTCAGAGTGGAATGAGCAGAGGAAAAGTCTAAGTCCAAATGTAGCCACAATGTTCCCAATCCCTAAAATAAACTGATTTTCTGTGAGATGGTATATATTGCAACTACAGCTTTCAATGTATTGGTATTTCCACTCAAATGGTAATATAAATTAATATTTCTTTAATCTTGCTCAGAACCTCCCTGTTGTCTAGAATAAGATATTTATAATTTGAAGTAGATACAAACAGAGTAGTCCTGAACAGAACAGCCCTGAGTTCAACCGTGATAGTTAAAGTGCCAAGACCCAGCATTAAGGAAACAAAAAAAAAACAATCACAGGATTTTTGCAGTTGGAAAAGACCTCTGAGATCACTGAGTCAAAACTGTCCACCCAGGGAAAAAAACAAAACAGAACAAAACAAAAAACCACATCTAAAACCATAATTACACACCCCAGAAAAAAAAAACAAAACAACAAAAAAAAAACAACCCACCATGCCCACTAGAGCATGTGGCTCTGAAATGCCACATCTACATGTTTCTTGAACACCTCCAGGGATGGTGACTCCACCACCTCCCTGAGCAGCCTGCTCCAGTACCCAACTACTCTTTCAGTAAAGAAATTCTTCCCAACATCTAGCCTAAACCTCCCCTGGCTCAGCTTCATGCTGTTTTCCCTGGCCCTATCGTTAACCAAAATCCTGCATGTATGTATAATCTAACTCCATATTAAATAAAATATTAATCACCCAAGTGCATTAGTCTGTGTAATACCTAGTATGTAACAGTGGTCTGGTTCTGCTGTGATCCTTTTGTAGTGAACAGTGCAGTTGAGATACCCAAGGCACTCTGGATTTGTCAGTTTGGGACTAACAGGATCCAGCTTTAGGCAATGATATCACAGCTCTCTACTTGGCTTCCTGCATTGCTCCTCATCTCAGGCAGCTCACACTTCAGATGTATTCTTGGATTCCAGGCTGGTGAAAGAAGGACACAGTGAGTGACATTGTTTTGCAAGTAAGCCCTGCACTGATGATGAACCTAAACTTGTCATTCCTGCTGGACCTGAGCTAATGCCATAAAGTGTCTTCATACTGTTTCTCCCATTGTGTCCCATAATGTGGTATTAGGGCTTTTTTTCCTACCACTGTTAATGTCTTGTGTGTTCCAGGCACCTTTCCCATCATCTTGGAAGACAGAGTGGCCTGAACCTAAGAGAAAAAACACAGAAGTTTAAAAACATTAGATACTGTTTCATTTATTGCAAACGACTCTTTCCTAATGGTAAATCGTATGAAGAAAGACAAACATGAAAAATTTACAAAATACTGTGATACATGGGAAAGCTGTTCTTTACTCAAAAAAGTTAAGATGAAAACCTTAATATGAGTAGGTTAAAATCTCTAGGAAGACACTGCTGCAGAACTGAACAAGTTTTTTCCACGCAGCCACACAAGAGCATTACATAGGTTCACTCACAAGTTTGCTGAGGACATGAGTGCCTGCTGGCAGCAGGTAACCCACTGGGCATGTAGCAAGTGCCCACGTGTTCTTTTTGCCTATGAAAAAAGCACTGATTTATGCTAAGCTAACAACAGAATAGCAAATTGCCTTTTAACACAGAGAATGAGCACGCAGAAGATCAATTTGTATGGCAAGTATTACTACATAATTGGCATTCTTTTTACAGACAGATCTGCAACAATGCTTACATTTTAATGGGTGGGAAACACAGGAGAAAAGGGGTTTGACACGAGGAGCTACAGATTTGCCATTGAGTGTATTTGACAGGTATCTTTTTCTCTTATAAATCAAAACATTCCACACAGATGGCCACCATAATCATTTCCATTTTTCACACAGAGACACTGAGGCACAAGAAAGAACCAACCTGGCTAAAATGGCTCAGTATGGCAGATGGAAATGGTGACCAAGCTTCATGAGCTCCTTGGTAAATCCTTCCTCATCCTGCTGCGATATCTCTCGTGCCATGGGAGATGTACAGGGCTG